ATCAGTGATGATGACGATGACGATGTGGATGCCGGTGACGTCATCAGTGATGATGACGATGACGATGTGGATGCCGGTGACGTCATCAGTGATGATGACGTCATCAGTGATGATGACGATGATGTGGATGCCGGTGACGTCATCAGTGACGATGACGTCATTGGGGGTCACGCGACATCGACGGGGGTCACGTGACCTCAGGGGAGTCACGTGACTTCGGGGGGTCACGTGACCTCGGGGGGGTCACGTGCCCCCCACGAGGTCACGTGACCCCGGTGGGGGGCTCGCGCGGTGCATTATGGGACATTTCCCATGATGCACCGGGGTCACGTGAGCTCGGGGGGGTCACGTGCCCCCCACGAGGTCACGTGACCCCGGCGGGGGGCTCGCGCGGTGCATTATGGGACATTTCCCATGATGCACCGCGCGGTTACGCCGACGGCGACGGCGACGCCGACGGCGACGGCGACGCCACTCAAGCCGGAAACGGGCCCCTAAGAGCTGCGCTCTAAAATTCGCTTGGCCACTGCGCCTCCAAGCTAGGGGGGGGGGGGGGGATATTATAGTGATCAGCCGGTGTGAGAAGAGAAAGTAAACAGGCACCACAAGACGGCTTAAAAACCAAGTTCGTCCCAGCTTTGCCACTTGGCCGCTTAAAGCGTTTCAGATGCATATATGTATGTATTAAATATTTATGCAGTCCGCACGCCACAAGCCTGAGGAACCAATCGGAGCTCTTTGCTAAGTCTTGATGAAACAAAGAGTATATAATGGCGGACTAACATGAAATGTTCATCTTTGCTTCCTGAGGCTCTCCGGTGATGATAGTGAATAAAAAAGCGTGTCACAACAGAACGCTTGTTGCGCGAGGAAGTTTACGTCTTCTGGTCACCTTCGCCGAAGTAGCGACCCAAAATAATAACAGACTGTACGTTCACAGAAGGACTCACGTGACCACCCTGCTATTTTGAGTGATTGGCTCTATGTTATCCGGCGTGGAAGGCTACTGTCTGATGTCTGAGGTCGCACCAAAAGTCGCGGTGTGCAGCTGGTTGAAAGCTCTGCCATGGTTTTGTCCTATTTTGAGCAAAAAATGTTAAATACTTACACGCATACTATAGTCACTGACAATTTGAGAAACGAAGAAAGTGGCTAGTTCCGAGCATCTTATTATTGCTAGACAGACAATGAGGGTGCAACATTAGCTAATAAGAAAGTTCAAGAACGAATCACGGGGCAAGAAGCTAGAACGTAAGCAATCATGCACTGCACCAGGGCTGAAAGTTAGGCTAATTGGCAGCAGCTCATAATAAAAAAGAGAGCGCGCACGAAATAACGACGAAAAAAAAAAAACACAAACGCGCTTGTCTGCCATACGTGTCCTCTCTGTTTCTTCCTTGTTTTTTGCGCGCTTTTTTTATTTTATCATCCACTGCATTTCCTACTTTGCCAGTGACTTTGTTATTTATTTATTTATTATTTCAAGATGCTGTTAACCCCTCTTGAGGTCATTACAGGAGAGGAAAAAAAAGTGTGTAATGAACAACAGCAGCAGAACAAGAACACGGTGTACATTACAGGAGAGTTTAAAAAAGGTACAGAAATAAACAGCAGCAGGAAAACGAGAAACACCGCACCAACAAGTATAATTTGCAATCATATTACAACGACATCATTATTAAACTAGCAAACGGCATGCACCACTCAATAGTAAAAATGAACAAACGAGTTCTACAAGCGCTTCAAATTATTTAAAAACTCTGTAGGGATACTTGAGTTTACAATTTCCTGCGGTAGAAGGTTCCATTCATGTATTGTTTTAGGAAAGAGAGAACAGTGAAATACATTAACTCTACTTTAAAAAGGCTGGATCCTTTTAGAATGGCTATTTCTTAAAATGCGAGTTACACGGGGTTTCAAATACAGGGTGTAGTCAATGTTGAAAAAACCGTGATACATCATAAAGATATACTTTAGTCTAGCATTCCTGCGCCGCTCAGAAAGAGGTATGAGGTCAAGCTGTTTTAACATGCCAGTGACAGAGTCGGTTCGTCCATATCTGGAGAGTACATACAGAGCTGAAAGTCTTTGTACGTTCTCTAATTTCTGAATATAAATTTTCTAATAGGGGTCTCATATTAGATTTGCGTACTCTAATACTGGTCGTATGACTGTTTCGTAGACCACCAACTTGGCACTCATAGTCACATATCTAAAATTCCTTTTTAAGTATCCCAATGTTTGCTTAACAGGACAGCAGATGTTGTTAACGTGGCTCCCCCATTTTAAGTTATTTTCAAATGTTACAGCCAAATATTTATAGCTATTCACTTCTCTTAAAGGAGACCCGTTAACCGTGTATACATAAGGTAGAATATTTTTCTTATTTGATATCCTTTGAAGTACACTTTTGTGAATATTAATTACCATCCCCCATTCTCGGCACCGTGACACACTTTTCTGTAGAGCGCTGTCCAGATTAGTTTGATCCTCGCTAGTTTTGATATCTGTGTAAAGAAAACGGTCATCGGCAAATAATCGTACCGTAATAGAATCGTCAATGGCTTGCGCAATGTCATAATATGTGTTTAAAATAAAACCGAACCCAAAACGGAGCCCTGTCGGACTCCTGATCATACTGGTGAAACGCTAGATGCCGTGCTATTTATTTCAACAAATTGCCTTCCTACCTTGAGGTATGCACTTATCTAATTAATCAATTACGAGCTGACTCCAATTGATTGAAGTTTTTTATCAAGTTTTTATGCGGGACTCGATCTAAAGCTTTCGACATATCTAGAAATATTGCGTCAGTTTGTCCCCCGGCATCAATAGATTTGAAAAAGTCGTGAATGCATTCACTTAACTGGGTAACCATTGAAAGTTTTCGTCTAAAGCCGTGTTGGTTTTTATAGAGAAGGTTATTGTTTTCTAAGTGGTCGTATAATGACTTTGAGACAATGTGTTCCATTATTTTACAGCTGGTACTCGTCAGTGATATTGGCCTATAATTGGTTGGGGATAATTTGTTGCCAGCTTTAAAAACAGGCACGACTTTAGCGCATCGCCAGTTGGAGGGAACGGAACTTTGCGATAACGAAGCTTTAAAGATAAGCGTTAGATATTTTTAAACCCACTCAGCGTGCCGTTTTAAGAATGCGTTTGGAATGTTATCGGGTCCCCCAGACTTATGCACTTTAAGTTGCAACAAAAGAGAAAGAATGCCTTCTTCTGAAATAGAAATATCTGTCATTATAGGTCCGTTGTATCCAACACCGCCTCTCACATCGTGACCCGGAAATTTAGACACGTTACTTCAGAACACGGACTGAAAGAAAGTGTTGAATGCATTGGCTATAAACTCTGGATTATTAGCGACCTTACCGTCAACTTCAAGATATGATATGGGCTTTTTTGTGGGAGAAAGATAACGCCAAAATTGCTTGAGGTCCGATTTCTTAAAATTTTGCATAGTGACAGTAAAATATTTTGTTTGATGCACGCAGGCTATCCTTTAATTTATCAGATAAACACGGAATTGCTTGCTTAATAACTAACTTCTTTTTACGCTTTCGCTTTATCTGCCCTTTTAGATGCAAAATTTACCTGGTGATCCATGAGTTTTGCTTTTTTTCAATTATCCTTAGGGGAATATAACGTTTAATACAATAGTTAACTATTCGTTTAAAGTCCTCCCACATTTCATCTACCGGCCTGGGGCGCTCGAACTCATACAAAGCCATCTCAAGGTAGTCTAAAATGTCAACGTCACTTGCCACCTCAAAGTCCCTTACAAACCTTCCAGTACGCTCTCTGGATGGTCTATCTGAATTGAAATAACAAGTCACGCAAACTAAATCATGATCAGATAGCCCTTCGTACACTGAGACGTCATAATCTGAGAGGTCAGGTCGCTACTCAAAAATTCCAAATCCAGAGTTGTGTCAGTAGATCTGCCGTCCCTGGTACTCTGATTGACAACTTGTGTAAAATCAAAATTAAAAGCGAGGTCGATAAAATATTTCAGAATGTTTGGTATCGCTAGTACCTGGCGCATGTTTTTCTCACCAGATGCCCCGCAGGTTGAAGTCGCTTGCTATTACAACATGTGATTTATGTTTAATATTAGCTCCCACGTAAACATACAACTTTTCCATGAATGATATATGTGCACCTGGTGGACGATATACAGCAGCGGAAGTGATCAGGTAACTGGGCCATTTAATTTGACAAAACAGACTTTCGTGGTCTGGAATTTGATTGAGCAGAGGGCTACACTCAACATGAGACTTGACTAGGATCGCCACGCCACCGCCACGTGATCCTCGGTCTTTTCGGTGTACCCTATAATTCAATGGAGAGATCTCATTATTATAAATATCATCATGTAGCCAAGTCTCGGTGATGACAGCAGCATCAGGGCTATATGATAACAGAACATGTTCAAGATTGTCAACTTTATTTACTAAACTACAAGCGTTTAAGTTTATCACAACAAGTCACGATTGGCAGATCGACTAGGCTGTCATGCAGGTCGTTTGTCTCGCGTTCTTAAAACCTGGAAGCGACAGTTGTTTTCAGCATCCCAGTGGCACAATGCATCATCGATTTGTATCTTATCATTGAGTAGCCTGACTTTCGAACCGCTGTCTTTATCTGCCTTCGCGCTTGCCCATAGAAGTTTTCGTATTCCTAGCGTTTCTTTCGAATAGTCGTTCGATAAAGAGATGTTTGGAACTTGGAGCTTGGAACAGTGTCGTAAGATCTCCATTGTTTCGTTATAATTATATAGTTTCATGATAACCGGCCTAGTGTTGTTTCCACGTTTAGCCCCCAGCCTATGAATTCGTTCAATTGACTGCACTCTTACCCCTAATCGTTCGAAAAACAGGTTCTTGATAACCTTATCTTTTATGTTTCTTTCTGTCTCGTTTATCGTTTAAGGGATACCGAATACAAGAAGATTATTCTTGCGGCCCCTATCTTCCAGATCAACTAACTTTCCTTGAATTTCCTTCACGGTGTTTTGTAAGCTATAAACAACTTCGTCGCAGACTTTCACAGCCTGGAAGTCATCTTTCAACCGTTTTCTTTCAGAAAGTTTTTCAAACTTATCCTCGAGTCGAGCCTGATTTTCTTTAACGTCCTTAATCTCTCTAGTTATTACAGCTTGTCCTCGCAACAATTTTTCAAGTGATTCTTCAACAGTCGTTGGTCCGGGGTTTTGCTCTACATCTCCCGAAAGCAGCAATAGGAGGATCTTAGAACATTCTGACATCTCACGGCAAACAACTTGAGGGCACGACACAACAACAATAAATATATTCAGCTTGTTTTTAGGCTACGGTCACAGCAATACACAGCAACCTGATTGATGACAAAAAGAAGGGGCATGTCAGCTGTGCGCTTGACAATGTTGCCGTGCCCTCTGAAGGAACCGGTAGTGGCCGGGTCCCTTTCGTAGGCGTTCGAGAGCGGTGGTGCCATGCGTTGTGACGTGGCATCCGTTTCAGGCAAGTAAGGTAGTTCCAGCTGATGCGGCACGTGCAGCTATCTTGTGGTCACTGCGATGTCGGTCGGCGAGCACGACGAGGCGGCTGCCAGTGCGCTACACAGCAACACCTGATTGATAACAAAAAGAAGGGGCATGTCAGCTGTGTGCTTGACGATGTTTCCGTGCCCTCTGAAGGAACCGGTAGTGGCCGCGTCCCTTTTGTAGGCTTTCGAGAGTGGTTGCGCCATGCGTTGGGACGTCGTATCCGTTCCAGGCAAGTAAGGTAGTTCCAGCCGATGCGGCACGTGCAGCAATCTTGAGGTCATTGCGATATCGGTCGGCGAGCATGACAAGGCGGCTGCCAGTGCGCTACACAGCAACACCAACACCTGATTGATGACAAAAGGAAGGGGCGTGTCAGCTGTGCGCTTGACGATGTTGCCGTACCCTCTGAAGGAACCGGTAGTGGCCGCGTCCCTTTTGTAGGCGTTCGAGAGTGGTGGCGCCATGCGTTGTGACGTCGCATCCGTTCCAGGTAAGTGAGGTAGTTCCAGCTGATGTGGCACGTGCAGCAATCTTCTGGTCACTGCGATGTCGGTCGGCAAACGTGACGAGGCGGCTGCCAGTGCGCTACACAGCAACACCTGATTGATGACAAAAAGAAGGAGCATGTCAGCTGTGCGCTTGACGTTGTTGCCGTGCCCTTTCTCCGTTATTTTGTTGCGAGCAGTTAATGGGACACTTTGCGGATTTTGCGCCGTCGACCGCGCTGCATATCGACGCGGGCCATTTTCGGCACTCCACCGAGAGTTTCCACAATGACGTCACGCCGTTCGACACGACTCTGGCGTCACGACGCGCATCACCCCACCTGCTACCTTGCGTCAGCAGACACCATGACATGACAGCCTCATGTCAAATCACGTTGCACAGTGAAGCCAAGCGATCTAATTGACGTCAGGTGACGCCGTGAGTCACGTGCTTTATTGGCACCACGTGACAATATTTTGTCGCGTGACACCATGACGAGAACCATAAATATGAGACTGCTTTAATGAAAAAATAAAAAGAAAGCGTTTTTACTAACTGCGCCAGAAATGCTTCCGGGCGATGAAACGAATGAAGCTAGGTGTGTGTTAAGCCGGCGAAACCACGGGCGTGAAATTAGGTCGAGCTACAAACTTGAAACATGAGTGCGTGATCTTGGAAGTGTTCTTCAATGACCACAAGGGGGTGTTAGTTTATGATCAATAACATTGCATAGTACATTGGGGCAGCTACACCAACGGCAGGGAACTGTTCATGCATACACATGCAATTTTGTCGTTCCACGGATTTGAACGTTGGCCGCGCGAGTTTTCAAGTGTTCCTCAATTACCATAAGGCACTCCTAGTTTGTGTCCAATAAAACTGTTTACCAGATTCACAAAACGCTTATACTTAATATACCCTCATTGGTTCCAATATACCCTTAATATACCCTCATTCCTTCTTATCCAAACTTTCGTGTGTACAGGTGCGACAGAATTACTAGAAAGGGGGGAGGCGTACTTTTGGCTATTAATAATCAAATCACGTCTCGGCTCATTCCACTTTCTACCGCACTAGAAGCCGTATGGGTTTATCTCCCTACGGCGCCCTCTGTTGTACTGGGCGTATGTTATAGGCGACCTGATAGTAATAAGGAATTTACCTTTGAGCTTAATAATAATCTTTCTGAACTCGCTACTCAATATCCTAACGCTTCTGTTGTACTTCTTGGGGATTTTAATTACCCGAATATTAATTGGTCTACCTTCACATCCACTTGCACTTCCTCTCAAGAATTTATACATTTTTGCCTAGATTATAACCTAACAAATATTATCACACAGTCTACTAGAATTACCGACTGCTGCAGCAATATACTCGACTTGGGCTTAAGTCAGGAGGCTTCTCTTTTTAGCAACGTTACCTACTTAACAGGAATCAGCGACCATCTTGTCATCGACATAACACTCTCTCTCAGTGTTCCTCGGAAATCACATTATTGCAAATACATTCGAGACTACGCGAGGGCCGACTATGTGTCTATCAATTCATGCCTCGAAGACTTTTACCAATCACTCTCTGTTAATCTCGAGGAAAGAACCGTCGATGAAAATTGGACGCTCTATAAAAATAAGCTATCCCACTTAGTTGAGTGCTTCATTCCATTGACCCGCATCATATCAGATAACTGTCACCCATGGTATAACAAAACGGTGCATAGTCATGCTAAGAAGAAAAAGCGACTTTATAAACGAGCGAAATCTGTCAACAATTCAGCCTCGTAGGATGCATATCATGCGTGTGCTGAGAACATACAAAACCGCCATTGCTGATGCTAAAATTAAGTTTTATACTCACGACCTCTTCAACATTTTAACAAATAAACCCAAAAAGTTCTGTAAAGTGGTCAACCCAGCTCTGTCTCTTCCATTGAAGTTCATAAACGACAACGGCATCCCACTTTCAGACGAAGATAGCGCTCTTTACCTTAAGAATTCCTTCACATCAATCTTTACTACAGAAGACTTACTAAACGTTCCCGACTCATGCCCATTAACTCACCCCCAGAAGAATCCTATCATAATTGACCGCGCAGGTGTATTGAAAGCAAAAGAAAACCTAAAGGTTTCCTCGAGCTCTGGAGACGACCAAATTAATTCGAAGGTATTAATAAACACTAAACACATTTCCTCTGTTTTCCACTGTGACATATTCTCACAATCGCTCACGCTTTCCATAGTTCGACGTGACTGGAAAATAGCTAACGTAATACCTGTTCACAAAACTGGTGATCGCCAACTAATAAGTAATTACCGTCCCATCTCTCTCACCAGTGTTCCATCTAAGCTCATGGAGCATATACTTTACTCAAATATAATAAACTTTCTTGACTCTCATAACCTTCTTTTTGAACATCAGCACGTATTTCGTATACCTTACTCTTGTGAAACCCAGCTAACCACCTTCTTTACTGATATTTACTCAAGCTTTGGTTCGAATATTCAGACCGACGCCATTTTCATTGACTTCTCCAAAGCATTCGATAAAGTACCCCACCAATGTCGTTTAACAAAGCTTATAACGATATTAATATTCATTCCTCTGTTGTTAAGTCGATTTCTGAATTCCTAATTAACCGTAAGCAATATTCCTCCGTTAACAACGTAAAATGTCCCACCTCTACCGTAACGTCAGGTGTCCCCCAAGGAACCGTACTGGGCCCCCTTCTGTTCCTAATCTATGTTAATGATCTCCACCTTAATATCGCTTCTTCTGTGCGCCTGTTCGCCGACGATTGTGTCATTTACCGACCCATTCTTTCATACCATGATCATCATGCTCTCCAGGAAGACCTAGAGCCTGTAATCCATTGGTGTGAAAAATGGCAGATGACATTAAACTTCAATAAATGTAGATCCCTATCAATTTCCCGCAGTTCGCGTGCCACACCATTTTCGTATTACCTCTCTAACACTCAAGTAATAGCATGCTCATCTTATAAGTACCTGGGTGTTCATCTCACCTCTAACCTATCATGGACTACTCACATAACTTCTGTTATTTCTGATACTAACCGTTCTCTCGGATATTTGCGCCGTAACCTTAAACTTGTTACACACTCCATAAAACGACTACCGTATACTTCTCTTATAAGATCGAAATTAGAATACTCCTCATCTATATCGTCCCCATGGCAGTCCTACCTTGCAAATAATCTAGAATCCGTCCAAAACAGAGTCCTTCGTTTTATTTATAACAACTACTCACCATATACCAGCATATCAGAATTACGCCAATCAGCTAACCTTCATTCACTTTTCCTTCGCCGCCGAGTATCACGCCTTTCTCTCCTCCATCGAATTTTTTATCAGAATAGCCACCTCAAAGAATCACTGCTATCACCTCCCCATCGTATTTTCCCGCGTCTAGATCACTTATGTAAATTACGTCCAATTCGACCATCAACTGTTTCTCACCAGACTTCCACACTACCATTGGCCATCGAGGATTGAAATTCACTACCTCATAACATCGTTTCTATTAATGATACTACTATATTTGTTGAAGCCATTATCCTCTCTTTATCTAACCTACCTAGCTAGCTTACAGTGTTATAACTGTGTTTACTGTTTTATTTGTTTTTGTTCTATAGCCACCCCCTTGTATAATGCTTCACGGGCCGTCAAGGAAAATAAATGATGATGATGATGAAAAGGCAATGGTATTTTTGTTCGGTGTGTTACTCGGTTTAACAGGAAACACCTCTCCGCACTCTGTGGTGCGCGCTCGCACCTTTACCGTCCATTCAGTCCATCTGCTCCGAGAGGACACCTTAGCGGCTTCGACGCCACACCTCAGCTGCCGCAGTGTTTCGCCATATGAGTAGCGTAAGTGTTTACTCCAAAGCAAACACCCTGACTTCACGTTGTACACTCGCTGATCTCAATTTTATTAACTGACCCCTCCTTCAGTAGATGAGCTTCTCCGACATGTATTCATAACGTTATCTCTTTGGCCAACACATTGGGCTAAAGATTCAAGTATTGTAATATAATGGCAACTCTGCGGACTCGAACCCCACCTGAGTTGACGACGAAGAAACCAACGACACCCACAAGAATCGAAACGGTGACGAAGGCCCCGGCCAGGCAAGACAGCACCCAAGTGATGCCGAAGCCAGATTCGTTGGAGGATGGTCGATCAGCTCTTGGCTGGACTCGGAGGACCACGTCGGCTTGTCTCATTCCACCACCCGCAGGCGCCGGGAGAAGCCTCGAATGAGACCCGCAAATACATTTTCAGTATTGCGTTGGTGGTACGCATTAGAAGCTCCCGTGCCTCTATCTTCCGCAGTACACTTCGAGAGCCACTCACTGCAATCCACGAGGAAACTTTAAATAACCTAATCCGATTGCGTGAACGTTTCGATCTAGAAACTATTGATTTGACAATGAACACGGCA